TCTTCGTAATATTCTCGTTATTCCTAAGCTTAAAAAGAATTTGCTTCTGTTTTTCAATTTACCCATGACAACCAGTGTAGTATCGAATTTGATCTTTTTGGTTTTTCTGTTAAGGACCTTCAGACGAAGAGGGAGCTTCTCATATGTTGTAATTCTAGCACACTTTATTCCCTTCCTCCGACTCTTGCTCGTGTTGAATCCATCTCGTGTGCTCTCACTGTCTCCTCCTTCACTCCTCAACAATGGCATCAACGACTTGGTCATCTGGGCAATACCATTTTATCTCATTTGCTGCATAATAAGGTTGTGCCGTCATTTACATCTCAAATCGGCACTTCTTCTTGCCATGCATGTCAACTTGGCAAGAATGTTAGACTTTTTTTTTTTACCATTTGCATGCACGTTCTTCGAATGCATTTGATCTCATTTATTCTGATGTTTGGACTTCACCGATATATGCATTTACTGGTTTTCGTTATTATGTCATTTTTCTAGATGATCACTTTCGTTTTTGTTGGGCTTATGCTTTACATAAAAAGTGTGAGGTGTTTTCCAAGTTTTGGATTTTCCATAAATATATTACTACTCAGTTCAATTTACCGATTAAAGCCTTTCAATGTGATGGGGGTCGTGAGTATCTCAATCATGAATTCAATAATTTCTTAAATGAGTGTGGCACCCGATTACATATCTCATGTCCAAACACTCATCAACAAAATGGTGCACCCAAATGAATGCATCAGAGCATTCTAAACATGATTCATTCCTTATTATTTCAAGCTCAACTACCACCCACGTTTTGGGTAGAAGCGTTACATACAAGTCTTCGTCTTCTTAATATTCTACTCAAACGTGGTTTGCAGTTTGCACCAACAGACACCCTTTGAACTCTTGCAGAATAAACCACCAAATTATTCTTCTTTGTGTGTGTTTGGGTGCTCGTGTTATCCTAATTTGAGTTCAACCACGCCCATAAACTCGCACCGCCGTCTACTCTTTCGATTTAGACAACGTGCTGATGGCTCTCTCGACCGTGGTAAAGCTTGTCGTGTCACTCAAGGGTACACTTAGAAACCGGGCATTGATTACAGTGAAGACTTTAGCCCTGTGGTCAAACCCACCACCATTCGAACTGTTCTTTCCCTGGCTCTTTCCCGTTCTTGGCCTATTCACCAACTTGACCTCAATAATGCATTCCTTCACGGCCATTTAAATGAAGTCGTTTAAATGTGCCAACTCCCCAGTTTCATTAATTCCAATTTTCTCAATCATGTATGTCGTTTGAACTAAGCCCTTCATGGATTAAAACAAGAACCGCACACATGGTTCAATCGATTCATGTTCATCTATCTTACTCCTACTCACATGGCAATTTTATTACTTTACGTTGACAATATTATTCTCACTGCCTTATCTTCCTCTTTGCTGCATCGTCTCATCCATAACATGAAATAAAAGTTTGCCATGTCTAACCTTGGTCGGTTGAATTATTTTCTAGGCATTGCTACCCAATTCACTACCGATGGTATGTTTCTTTCCCAGGCCAAATACATTGAAGACCTCCTTGTTAGAAGCTCCCTTGGTTCTTCCAAACCCGTCTCTACACCCATTATCTCCAAGCCAAAAACACCTCTATTGGATGATCCAGCTTCCTATAATCCTGCCAATTATTGAAATCCTGTTGGTGCCCTTCAATACCTCACGTTTGCAAGACCTGATATCACCTTTGCGATTAATCAAGTATGTCAACATATGCATGCTCCTCGCCAATCTCATTTTTGTTACAATAAAACGGATTCTCCGATATCTCAAAGGCACACTCCATTTTGGTCTCTAACTCTATAAGTCTGTCTTTGATCACATACATGCCTTCTCCGATGCGGATTGGGCTGGTTGCTTTACCACCAGACGGTCTACCACAAGTTATTGTGTCTTTTTTTGCCCTAATCGTATTTCTTGGTCTGCAAAGAAAAAACCAACAGTCTCATGTTCGAGTGCCGAAGCAAAAAATCGAGCAGTGGTTACCACATGTTGGCTCATGTCTCTTTTGCGTGATTTACATATTTCTCCCTCACATCCAACTATGGTTTACTGCAACAATATTAGTGCCACCTTTCTTGCTGCCAATCCTATTCAACATGAACAGACCAAGCACATAGAAATTGACATTCATTTTGTTCGCGAAAGGGTCGCTTGGGGTAATCATCTAGTTTGTCACATCACCACTCAAGATCAAGTTTCGGGCATTTTCACCAAAAGCTTACTAGCTGCCAAATTTCGGAACAATCTCTTAGTGTTATTTAACCCAGCTTCGATTGCGGGGGATAACAGACAGTCACTATTGTTCTCTTGTGTAAAGGCTATTTACGTAATTGTCTTATGTCATCTAAATCACATATAATCTATGGGCGTATATATACAGATGAATACAAGACTCAAGGGTCCAGGATTCTCACATCTCTTCACTTACAACTTCTGCCAAGCCAAACGCACGATGAACTACTAGAGTGTTTATTTCGGAGAAATTATACTTTCACTCTCTGAAATATGGCTCTAATCCGATTTTACCCCTTTCAACTATTGAGTTTTTCACACAATTACCATTAAGTTGTATTTGAATTGATTTTATACTGTCCAAAGTCAAATCTCCAACATATTTTAGAGGGAAAATGTCCAAATGAATTGCAAATATTTGTAATTCAGGCACTGCAAAATTAATAATCATAGCGGATAGTGCAATCAACGAAATGTGATAAGGTATTATTATAGTTGAAAGTATAATGTGAAACAAGCAGGGGCGGAGCCACCTTGCCCTTGCCCCCTCACTTTTGGATCACCTTTGATTTTTTTTTTTTTTGGAATTAAGTCTTCGTAATGTTATTTAATGTACTACATTTGCCCCCTTAAGTTTTTAAAAAAGTTTTATTAAAGTACTAGTCTTTTCCCCCCAATAAATTAATGATCTATATTACCCCGCTAAAGCAGAAAAAAAATATATGTTTTGGAGGAAGTAAATTAGATGTAAATGTTGTGTTTTATTTATATATATTGAAAAAAATACAATAATTCTTTTTTATCTAATACAATGCTTCCTAAAACAATTGTATAGATGTCGTTTGATATTCTTGGGTTTGTTTATAATCTATAGTCAATAAAATAGGATTGGATATGAAATTTCTAATTAAACTTGAGAATGATCTCAACTATGTTTCACAATTGTTAAAAAAATAATTCTATAACATGACTCTATGATTGTGTGCATTGGTAGAAAATTAGTGAGTCTTCTTGCTCTTACAATTAAACAAAAATAAAAAATATTAGAAACTTAAAAGAACATTGTATTTCACTATAACATATAATTAAAATATATTAAAAAAATTATTTTGTATTTTTTTGTTTAGATTTTGTTTTTTTTTACAAATAGTTTTACTACATCCAATCCTTTGATTAGGTCCCGTAATATTATTCAATGTACTACATTTGTATTTTTTTTTAAGAAAACAAATAATTTTACTATTTCAATAATTTGTCTTAAANAGACAGTCACTATTGTTCTCTTGTGTAAAGGCTATTTACGTAATTGTCTTATGTCATCTAAATCACATATAATCTATGGGCGTATATATACAGATGAATACAAGACTCAAGGGTCCAGGATTCTCACATCTCTTCACTTACAACTTCTGCCAAGCCAAACGCACGATGAACTACTAGAGTGTTTATTTCGGAGAAATTATACTTTCACTCTCTGAAATATGGCTCTAATCCGATTTTACCCCTTTCAACTATTGAGTTTTTCACACAATTACCATTAAGTTGTATTTGAATTGATTTTATACTGTCCAAAGTCAAATCTCCAACATATTTTAGAGGGAAAATGTCCAAATGAATTGCAAATATTTGTAATTCAGGCACTGCAAAATTAATAATCATAGCGGATAGTGCAATCAACGAAATGTGATAAGGTATTATTATAGTTGAAAGTATAATGTGAAACAAGCAGGGGCGGAGCCACCTTGCCCTTGCCCCCTCACTTTTGGATCACCTTTGATTTTTTTTTTTTTTGGAATTAAGTCTTCGTAATGTTATTTAATGTACTACATTTGCCCCCTTAAGTTTTTAAAAAAGTTTTATTAAAGTACTAGTCTTTTCCCCCCAATAAATTAATGATCTATATTACCCCGCTAAAGCAGAAAAAAAATATATGTTTTGGAGGAAGTAAATTAGATGTAAATGTTGTGTTTTATTTATATATATTGAAAAAAATACAATAATTCTTTTTTATCTAATACAATGCTTCCTAAAACAATTGTATAGATGTCGTTTGATATTCTTGGGTTTGTTTATAATCTATAGTCAATAAAATAGGATTGGATATGAAATTTCTAATTAAACTTGAGAATGATCTCAACTATGTTTCACAATTGTTAAAAAAATAATTCTATAACATGACTCTATGATTGTGTGCATTGGTAGAAAATTAGTGAGTCTTCTTGCTCTTACAATTAAACAAAAATAAAAAATATTAGAAACTTAAAAGAACATTGTATTTCACTATAACATATAATTAAAATATATTAAAAAAATTATTTTGTATTTTTTTGTTTAGATTTTGTTTTTTTTTACAAATAGTTTTACTACATCCAATCCTTTGATTAGGTCCCGTAATATTATTCAATGTACTACATTTGTATTTTTTTTTAAGAAAACAAATAATTTTACTATTTCAATAATTTGTCTTAAATCTTAATCTATTTTGTTATTCTTGTATTCAATTTTTTTTCAATATCAACTAATAAATTATTTTTATTTATATTTTGTCCCCTTATTCATGTTCTTGGCTCTGCCCGTGGAAACAGGGATCATAATTTAGAGGGCTAAACTCTATTTTTTTTTTCTTTATTTGGTGTAGACAAAAAAAACGAACTTGTTTCTATACGCTGCAAGCTATGATGTTATAACAGTAATGGTGCAGCCCCCACAGCATGAAATTTAAGTATCTAATTTTGCCTGTATGCAATGTAGTTGGCTAAATGGTACAATGGTGCAGCCCTAGCAACATCAAAGTAGCTGAGCTCCTCCATGGCTTTATCCACCAACTCGCCGGCGAACTTCTTCGCCTTGTCGAGTCCCATCAGCTTTGGATACGTCGCCTTGTCTGTTGCCAAGTCCTTGCCGGCCGTCTTCCCCAACTCCTCTGATGACTTTGTCACGTCCAAAATATCATCCACCACCTGAAACAACAATAGATACGATAACTTATAGTTTAGTATAAAGTATAGAATTCACGTAGTTAATTCTTAAAATATTAGAACGCTATTTTGTTGATTTAAATTGAGATATACCTGAAACAACAACCCAATGCACCTAGCATACCTCCTCATCCTCTCCACCTCATTTCCACCACCTCCACCCACGATAGCTCCGCCCACCACCGCCGCCTCGAGAAGCTTTGCCGTTTTGTGAACATGAATGTACTCCAACTCACTCAGATTCACTCTTTTTCCCTCACTAGAAATGTCCACAATCTGCCCCGCCACAAGCCCTTCGGACCCAACAGCAGAACCCAACTCTGCAATGGCTCGAACTACCCGGTTTGACGACACATTCACGGTCTTAACAGCTAAATGCTCAAAGGCAAGGGACAAGAGAGCATCACCGGCGAGAACAGCAGTTTCTTCACCGAAAACCTTGTGGTTTGTCGGCTTTCCTCGTCGAATATCGTCGTTATCCATGCACGGCAGGTCGTCGTGGATGAGAGACATTGTGTGGATCATCTCAACAGCACAGGCCATTGGAACGGCCACCGTATCTTCTCCTCCCACCAACTCACAGGCAGCTAAACATAAGATTGGTCGGACTCGTTTCCCGCCGGCGAGAAGTGAGTACCTCATTGCCTCATGAATCATCTCCGGTTTTCGCAAGGGAACGGCGTCGTTTAATGCTTCGTTCACCCTTATTGCCTTCATGGCCATGTATTCTTCGAACTTGAATTCAGGAAACTCATAACTCCATGGCTTGGTCAGTGATTCTTGAACTTCTAGGGATTGAATAAAAGATGTTTGCGCACCATGGGCTGCCTGTATTTTCGTCTGAAAAAATTTGCGGCGGCCGTTGGGAGTTCCCGCGGGGTTTTTCAGACCAGTGATGAGGTTACNTATATATATATATATATTTATTTATTTATTTATTATTTTATTTTTTTTGTATCCTTGCACCATGGGCTGCCTTTATTTTCGTCTGAAAAAATTTGCGGCGGCCGTTGGGAGTTCCCGCGGGGTTTTTCAGACCAGTGATGAGGTTACTTTTGAGAAGGAATGAAGTGTCATTGCCGGAGATGGTCGCAGAGAACGCCATTGGTGTGCGTAGGGTGGGGGTTGGTGAAGAAGAAGAGAAGAGTTGTAATGTTGATCTGGGTATAACTTAATTAATTCCATGGATATGGTGGAGTTATATAGAGTAAATGATGTTACTGCAGATGCTGTTTTTGTTGGCTACCCCTATTCCTAACTCTTATTCCCTTAGTTGGAGCTTGGACTGTAGTGCATTTTGTTTTTTAAAGAAAATTTTAGTGACACCCCTTTCTATTTTATGATCTTCAAAAATACTCTATTTTTTGAATTTTTACTTACACATTCTGTCAAATTAAATGTATTAATTAGAAGGAAATTTTATTAAACTCTGCATAATATATTTTAAAAAAAACTTCATCAACAACCCTTCTAAATAAACATATCTTTAACAAGACTCTCTCTAATTTCTAAATTTTTTTATGTATTAAAATTTGAGTGAATTAAAAATTATATATTTTTACGTATTAAAATTTGAGTCAATTAAAATTCTATTCGAGAATCAAATCAAATTTTAATACCTTGCATTAAATTTTAATCGACTTGATTTTTGATACATAAAAAATAATAATTTTAATTTGACTCAAATTTTAATACGTAAAAAATAAATTTTAATCAACTTAAATTAAATTTTAATAAAAAAAATATATTTTTTTAATCGATTTAAAACGAATTTTAATTAGGACAACAACTCAAGTAGAGCTCAAATTAGCTCAAATTTTAATACCTAAAAAAATAAATTTAATCAGTTTGAATTAAATTTTAATATGTAGAAAAAAAATTTAATCAACTTGAATTTGAATATGTAGAAAAAAAAATTTTAATCGGCTCAAATTTTAATATAATTTTATGTAGAAAGATTGTTTAGGTTTTATGTATGATTAATTTTGGTATTTGAGATAATTTATTTTTGTTATAAATGGTGATTTAATGACAGGGGATGTCAGTGATGTTTAAATATAAATTAAAAGGGGTATTAGTAATATTTTTGATAATAGAAGAGATGTCTTTAAAAATATGATAAACTAAAAATAGGTGTGGCTAAAATTTTCCCTTTTTTTTTTATCAAGACTATAGTGCACGGATGCACATGAAAATGGCCACATAAACTTCATTATACCAATCTTTTTCACAACAACAATGTTGTTTAAACATAATTTGAGGACCCAATGTCCTGTGTCCAACCAAGTGATTAGAAGTAATCACAAAGAGTAGCTTAACTACTAACATGGAGCTGTAAATTAAGACATTCTGAGTTTAAATTGAGCAATGACAATCTCTTGAGGTCAGGTAATGAGAAATTTATCTCACATGAATATTGTAAGTGGGGAGTTAAAAGAGGTTGACACACGTGTCTATGCCAAGTGTAATCGAAGGGAGTCTGTAGGATAAGTGGATGAGATGGAAGAAACTCGAACAGCCTATTAATGGAGGGACAAACCAGTTGGACAGAGGGTAAGTGAAAAATACTCTCACTAGCCATAAAAATCATCCTCTACAGTGAGCAAGTAATGTGGATATTTATAGCATAGTGCTCGGGTAGGTTGAGCTGCCCAAAGGGCTGCCCGCCGCGACCCCTACTACTCACGTTAACCCACAACTGCTTCGATTGCGACGATACCAATAGTCATGAACGGCGAGTTATACGTCTCAACAGTAACTAGGCAGGTATGATGTTTCTCCAAACACAACCTAGACATGACCCTAAGGAATGTGCAATAGTTAAGGCGAGGGCGAGCTCCCAAGGTCCACGACTGGTCATTGTGGGACCATGACCTCGAGAGGGCCATGTCCGCGATGCTCCCAGCACGCTCCTATCTGAGGTCCTCCTTTCCATCTCTAAACCCTTCATCGAGACCTTTGTCGACGTGCCCGATAGAAGAAACTTACATAGTTTCGGTCCTTGAGCCACCAATCCACATGTCCCTTCATCCCATATGCTAATCTAGACCAACAACCCCAGTTACCTTAGGAGTCTCTCCGGATCCCAGTCAAGCGCATCCCAACAGGTAGTGAGTCATACACTGGGAGGCCTGCTTGAGCAGACTAAACCTTCGAGACCCTACCCCAAGCCGAGGTTGACAATCATGCTCATCCATCCTAATTGCTCAGATTTCCCTTGAGGAGGGCCTTACTTCCATATCCCTAGGTGGGGACATCTCCTCTTAGTTCAATGGGCCAATCGAGCAATGGTGTCCAACAGATTAAGGATATCACTCTTGCAGTGGGGGAGACGAGTTTCATCGTGGTTGCCCCATACTTTTGCAATACCATTCCCACAAAGGGGCATCGCGGCTAGGGGCGTTGCTCCAAGGGGGCATCGCGCCCAAGAATGTTGCACTTGTTATTGTTATCTATTTCACTCCAGTTGAACTCTGTTAGGCCCCATTTCTATGTCAATTGATAATCGTTGCCACTTGTACTATTATAGCGGAGACATATGTTTTTTATGTTTTTCGAGTACTACATTTGCCCCCTGCGTGCGCCAAGTTGCGGGAAGCGTCCTATGCGCGCACACTATTTTTCGTCCGCACTTGTTGTTTGACTGCAACTATTTGACCGTGGTGCCGATAAAATTTTTTTTTATTAAATTTTTTTATATTTTATATTTTATATTCATTTATTTTTTTTTTGTATCCTTGTATCACTGCGGATAAGAAACTTTGACTATTATTGAGCCTCGAAAATCACCAATAAAATGACCCATTATTTCTTTTGAAATTCTTGACCTTCGACCGTCTCAAAAAATCATAGTGAATCGGTATCTTGGAAAGAACCCCAACCATTAGTTACCGCGATTATACCGATGTCAATGTCCTTTCCCCAACTGCTTGTCGAAACATTATAATACTTCCATAAAATAATGGGCCACCGTTCATTTGATATATATATATATGTATAGATATATATACATTTATGATTTTCAAGTGAAACATGTGGGCCCATTTTCCATTTATTGCTTAATTCTCCACATTTCCGTAACTCCTTCAAAAAGAATGCACCAAAGCTTGTTCCAAGTGGTGAGCCCCACTATCTATTTGAATAAAACTTGGCTTTGACTTTTCTCTTGACAAATTGAGTATTTCTATACTGTGTTGCCCTTGTCTTCTTGCTTGGACAACACGATTTGTTCACCTCTCAGTACTACTGCTAGTGATCGGTGTCTAACATGGGAATGACATTGACATTGGCGTCTGCATCTGCTTAATTATAATCTGTTTTCATGTACTCCATTCATTAAAATTGACTGGATGTCTAACTTGGACAACCCGCTGGTCATTGACAGTAGAAGCTAATGCGTAGGGGTGCTGACAGCTGTCATTTCTTTTGATTAATGTGACCGGTCACCACGACTATTCCGTCTTCCTAGCTTCTTATCTCGCAACTTCATAACCATCCAGCCCACCTTGGATACTGCAACCTCTTTAATTTCTATGCATAAGCCTCCACTTTTTTTTTTGGCCTATAAATTGAAGACTGCATTCACTTCTCATCCTTTATTCATCCTTCTCATTTTTCTCACCGAACCTTGGCACGTTGTCCGACTCTCTTGCAAGTGTTGACACCTTGTTTTTTTTTTTAAATATCATAGGCTTACATTTTTTTTCTTCCAAGACTCCTTTTTTTTTTTCAATTATTTTATTTCCCACACCACTCATATTTTTTTTACTTTCTCATTGCCGATCATCGTCATATTCGCACGGGTCCAATACCTCCGTCTGAGGAGTGGTATCACGCCCCCTTTCTCGGTGCTGATGTTGATCGATATTTCGAGTATCTCCATAGCTATGTGCCCGAGGAAGAGGAGCCGATTCATCCATTATATTTGGATCCCCCTGCCATTTGCTTGTGGATTATTGTAGCTTGTTTTCATGTATGTGTTTCCCCCCCTTTTTTTTACACAAAATGTAACCAAAGGACAAGTTTCATAAATATTCATATCAATTGATGTTTACACTTTTGTCTTCCAAAATTCGTTTACATGTTTTTTATGGATGTTTACATTTCTATCCCTCAAGAGTAGTATAGCTTCAACCATTTGACATTAAACTTTCCCATTATTTTCTCTGACCCGACATGCCCGATTTCACAATATTCGCTATCCTCAGCCTTACGGACTTCGAAAGGTCCTTCCCACTTGGGGGCGAACTTAAGAATGGTCAGGCCGCGCATAACACTTGGGACTATTTTTAGCACCAAATTACCCTCTTAGAAGGTCCTTGGCTTTACCGTCAAGTTGTAAGCCTTAGACATTCCTTCGGTGATATTTTTTTAAGTGTTCTCGTGCCTCGTCTCGGTGCTCGTCAAGTGCTTCTAACGCCACATGCCTCACCTCTGAGGTTACCTCGGCTCTGGCTGCCAACCTCGCGGAGGGTACCACTATCTCTACGGGGAGTACTGCTTCCTCGCCGTAGACCAATGAATAAGGCGTCGCGTCAGTGGGCTTCCTCTTTGAGGTCCTATAAGTCCATAGCGCTATTGGAAGCTGTTCAGCTCAGTCTTTCCCATCCTCGATGGTTCTCCTCAAGATCCTTATCAAGGTCTTATTAATGGCCTCAGCTTGACCATTTCCCTATGGGTAGTATGGTGTGGAGGTATGGTGGATCACCCCATGTTGTTGTAAT